ATCTATCATGAGAATTTCAGCCAGAATTTGCTGCTGCTGTTCATTGACACAACACTAACAACAACTGTCACGAAAATTTATAAATTTATTTACATTTCGTTGTTGTTTTTGTTGTTGTTGTTTAAAACAATTATTACTTTCGCTCTTGTTCTTATTCAATTTCATCTTGTGTTCTAGTGTCGTGCTACTACTGTTGTTATTGTTGTTTTTGTTTGCTTTTTTTTCTATTGTTTTTACAAAAACAATTAACTACATATGTCGCATGTACTACATAGATATGTATGTACGTACGTAGTATATTAGATAAATATTTTGAAATAAACAAATATATTAGAATATTTGTATATATGTAGGTATGAATGTAGATTCATAGATATGATTGTTGCCTAGAGAGATTTTAATTCTACGCATGGGTAAATATCATTAAAAGGGTGTACCTCTTAATATTCGGAAATAAGAGAGGAAAAAATATTCTATAGAAAATCCACGCCTTGTATAGACCTTGAAAAAATATTTTTTAAAAAATCCACGCCTTGTATAGACCTTGAAAAAATATTTTTAAAAAAATCTACGCCTTAAAAAAATATTTTTTAAAAAATCCACGCCTTGTATAGACCTTGAAAAAATATTTTTTAAAAAATCCACGCCTTGTATAGACCTTGAAAAAATATTCTTTAAAAAATCCACGCCTTGTATAGACCTTGAAAAAATATTCTTTAAAAAATCCACGCCTTGTATAGACCTTGAAAAAATATTCTTTAAAAAATCCACGCCTTGTATAGACCTTGAAAAAATATTCTTTAAAAAATCCACGCCTTGTATAGACCTTGAAAAAATATTCTTTAAAAAATCCACGCCTTGTATAGACCTTGAAAAAATATTCTTTAAAAAATCCACGCCTTGTATAGACCTTGAAAAAATATTCTTTAAAAAATCCACGCCTTGTATAGACCTTGAAAAAATATTCTTTAAAAAATCCACGCCTTGTATAGACCTTGAAAAAATATTCTTTAAAAAATCCACGCCTTGTATAGACCTTGAATAAAATATTCTTTAAAAAACCACGCCTCGGATAGGCCTTAAAAACATATTCTTCAAAAATCCACGCCTCGGATAGGCCTTAACAAAATATTCTTAAAAAATCCATGCCTTGGATAGGCGTTAAAAAAATATTCTTTAAAAAATCCACGCCTTGTATAGACTTTGACTAAAATATTCTTTAAAAAATGCACGCCTTGTATAGACCTTGAAAAAATATTCTTTAACAAATCCACGCCTTGGATAGGCCTTGAAAAAATATATATTTTAACCAGTAAGGAAAGTAGTAAAGACGGACTGGACCGACTATATGATACCCTTCACCACTTCGGGTATATTCTAGATATTTATCCCAACATGAAATTAAACCCATTTAAATATGTGATCTTTATATATAAGTGAACTGACTAACATCAATCCATACATATGCCTCTCTGCAATCTATGCAGAAAGGCATATGTTTGGGGTATATTATACATATGTATCCTTACAATTGCATGTCAATGTTCCCTCGAAGGAACATACTCATGTCTTTCTGTAACATATGCTAAATTAACTTTCATTCGGACAGATTTAGAGTTCTCTGCGTACCATGGGACAAATTTATGGAAAACGATGTATAGCAAAATTGATACACGATATTCGGTACGTCGCACTGTTAAAGATTTAATCTCAATCAGATACCCGTTCGAATTACATATGGAAGCTATGGCTGCATCTGCACCAATTTCAACAAAAAGCAAAAACGTCATTCAAGGCCACCCCCCTCTGGCAACGTCATTGGGAGCTATATCTAAATCTGAACCGATTTTCACGAATTTTAACACTCATCGTTCTAGACCTAATTCAGTACGTTATGCCAAATTTCGTGCAAATCGAAGGATATGTAGGGACTTTGGTGCATTATTTACCTAAAATCGGACGAAAATATATATGGGAGCTATATCTAAATCTGAACCGATTTTCACGAACCTTAGCACTGATCGTTCTAGACATAATTCATTACGATATGCCAAATTTCGTGCAAATCGAAGGATACATAGGGACTTTGGCGCACCATTTACCTAAAATCGGATGAAAATATATATGGGAGCTATATCTAAATCTGAACCGATTTTTTCGAATTTCAACAGGGTTCATCCTTGGGCCAAATAAATGTGATGAGCCAAATTTCATCAAATTGGAATCAGAAATGCAACCTGTACTTTGTTTACTACTTAACATGGACAGATAGACAGACGGACGGAATGCATAAATCGACTTAAAAACTGATTCTATGCATATTCTCAAAAGGAACCATGGGTCTATCTCGTTTCCTTTTGCCTGTTACAAACATGTGCACAAAGACATAATACCCTGTACCACAGTGTGGTGAAGGGTATAGAAATCCACGCCTTAGGTGGGCCTTGAAAAAAATTATTAATTTAAAAATTCAAGGGGTGAATGTTTTAAACAATAGCCTTAATTCTTAAGAAAATCCGTTTTTATACCCTACACAACTATGTTGTCAGGGTATTATAGCTTTGTGCAGCCCAAGAGTTTGTAACGCCGCGAAATATTGGTCCTAGACCCACTTTTAAGTATACCGATCGTCATATCTCGACTAGCTGAGTCGATCTAGACATGTGTGTCTGTCCGTCCGTTCGTCCGTCTGTCCATTATAATTTGTAAACACGATGCAGGCTACAGTTATGGACCAATCTTCACGAAATTTTACATGTAGGATGGATTCTTGCTAATGAAGACTCCCATTGTTTTTGGTATAGATCTGTTAATATTTAGGGGATGAAATGGACCAAATACTTATTTTTTGGTCGGTTTTTGTGGTCGCTCCAGATGCCACAATTATGAAACATCGCGATTTTTAACAGGGGGAAGGGGATTGGGCCAAAGAATAACCATGGCTGTTTTGATAAAGATCGGTCAATATTTAGCGGGTCAAATGGACTCTGACTTTTGTGTGAAAAATGACAAAATTTGTATTCTATAGGGAATATATTTACTCCTGAAGGAGATAGACCCGAGAAGTTTATAGTATATCCAATAGAAGTGGTTGGCCTTTTAATTAAAACCAATTATATTGTCGTATGTACTCGAATGTGGGAGACACACGTAAATATTTATAGGTGTTTATGGGTTCAGATATTATTTAGTAACCCATTACCACACTAGAGGGCGAAAATATAGCACTGATCGCTTTGAAATTTTCCATGAGTATCCTGGTATGGTAGGACAACGCCTGTAATTGTCGGTGATGATTAGATAATTATATTGGGCCGAAAACTTAATTTTTTGTGTCCTTTTCGAGTCGATCTATAGGCCACAATTGAAAGCCGAACATCACAACACATCCCTAGGTAAAGGGAATCTGGAATATTTGTTGACCTCTAGTCGGTCAAGAAGGTGAAAATATCGCGAAATATTACGCAAGCCTAGAATGTAGAACCACACAAAGTTAGATTTTCGTGGAATTTCGTCCGACTATACTGCTCCGCTCACTGATTTTTATTTTGTTGCCTGGTGTAGTTTCCGAGTGTTAATTTGAGATGTAGCTGTCATACAAAACAAGCTGTCACACAAACAGGCCTGGACCTTTGGACGCTTTGCTCGTACTACAGCTCTCGTGTATGTTTGTGTGTGTGTGAATAGTAAATATTAGAATATACAAATATTCAGTAGTTCCAAGGGGGGTTGCGTGTGTGTGTGTGAACACATTTGGGCGACACTCGCCCAGAGTTAATGAAAAACAAATTGGCTGGCGAGGAGAAGCAAAAAAAAAAAAAACAAACAGAAACAAGAAAAACAACTACTAGAAGAAATGTTATTCATCAAATAGATGCACATGACTAGAAATGATTTGGATGGAAGAAGAACAAGCAAAAAATTAATGAAATACAACCGAAGACACACAAGCGTACATACATATTTCATATTCACCCTCTATCTTCTATAGATGTGCTGCTGTACATATAAACATTTTTATTTAGTTCACAATTTAGATGCTTGCTGGTGTTTTGTTTTTTTGTTGCTTTGCTTTTTTTAATTTGTTTTAGTTGACACTGAAACGTCAAGCAAACAGCGGCCAGCATCTTGGAAGATACGCTTCGGCCCAGCCATAAATTGCGAACATAACAAAGACAACCGAACGATCAGCGCACGGGCTAATAAACCTGCTGGCCAAAAAGGATGGCTAATAAAGATTAACAACATTTGAGACATTTGACCATTTGTTGTTGTCGTTTTTTGTTGTTTTTTATATTTCTTTGGTTTATTTGTTTGTTTGTTTTCGAAGTAATTCATTCATTCTGCTCCGTCTTTTGTTTTAATGTTTAATAATCGTCTAATAATAGGCCAAAACAAATTGCCAAATATTTTATCTCCAAAAAGCATTTAGCCAAGAAAAACAACAACAACAACAAGAATTTTCCCACAAGAGCAATAGAATCCAGAAACAACAACAACACCAATGAACACAACGCAAAGAAAATATACACATATGATTAAATAAAATAAAAAAGAAGAATAAAATAACAACAACAGAAGCAGGCAAGCAAATAAGTTAGGTGGCCAAGTGAATCAGCATGAAAAGAAAATATGTGGCAGTGATGGTACGTCGTCGTCCGCACTTTATGGCTTTTGAGTTTTCCGAAACCGAAATATGAAAGTCGGGCCGTTTAATAAATTACAATGTTTTAGTTGGTGGCCAGCAATGTGGACGTCCAAATGAATGTCAGTGCGAGTTGAGTGTGCGAAAAATTAAAAAAAAAAAAAAATAATAATTGGAAAAAAATTAAATCTTAACAAATTCGAAATAATAAAAAAATTAAAAATATAAAAAATAAAAATTAAAAAATCATAATAAAATCTAGTGTAAAAATATTTAAAAAAACTTAAAAATATATAAAAAATTTAATATAAATAAACAACAAAAATTATTAAAAATTTTCCCCCATAAGAAAAACAAAAAAATCCGATTCATAAACGCGATTCCAAACGCGCCATGACCCAAAACTTTCAAGTCAGCTACACAGCCCTTGGAATGTCTGATGATAATCATACCAGCTATTCGATGCCATCGGTGGCATCGTCTAGTGCCCGTGCCCGCAATGTCAACTTCAATGAAGATCTCAACGATTCGGCCGGCTATCCACCGCAACAGCTGCCGCCACAGCCCAGACGCAGTTCGAAATTGTTTTTCCAGCGACCGCGTTCCATGTCCGCATGGAGTGACATAAGTCGCAGCAGTATGCGTTTGGATGAAAGGTAAGCCGGATGAAAACAAGAATACCTCAAAATATTTTGCCAATAAACATGATGTTTGGGGGGTTTTTAACGACCAGTGTGTAATAAATAAAAATTTGTTTTATTTTGGCATTACATTTTCCATATGGATTTTTATTATTTTTGGCATTTTGGAAATGTTGCGTATTCAGTTGGAAATTAAACAGATTTTTAATGGGGCATAAACAATTTAGAGCGAATAGTTTTTTGGAATAGAAAATATCCGTGTTTTTTTTTTATAAAAAATCGTTGGTACTCGGGAAATTATTTTTGAAAAATGTACGCATTAAAAATATATTTTTAAACACCGATAAATAACTTTGTTTTTGATTTTTTTTAATCCAAGCTTTTTTGGTTCTTGATTTTATTAATTCAATGGCATTAGAGAAAATAAATTCTAAAAATTCACTTATTTTGTGGCATTTGAAAAAATATATTTTTAAACAGGTGAGCGGATCTGGGTCGACCATATGATAACAAATACTACTGGACTTTATCCCGAGCCTGGAAAACATGTCGGGACCTTATTATATTTAAGAACTCCACGCCTATTGGGACCTTTAAAAATCTTTTTTTTTTTAATCCTCCACCTTGTAATTAGAGGTCCTCTTTCCTATCGAGACATCTTACGATATCATTATAAACCAGTGAGCGGAGCAGTATAGTCGGACGGGGCCGACCATACGATACCCTACACAACTTCCATGAACATCTAACATTCTGTGGTTCTATATTCTGAGATTGGCAATATTTCGCGATATTTTCACACTTTTGACTGGCTAGAGATCAGAAAATGTTACTAATAATCAGTACAGCACCTCCAATTACTTGTCCAGATTCCCTTCACCGTGGGTTGTGTTGTGATGTTCGGCTTTCGACTCGAAAAGTACAAATAATTAAGTTTTCGGTCCATTTCATCCAAAAAATATTATCTGATCATCTCCTAACATTTTTGTCCTTGTCCTTGACCATAACTGGAACCTCATGGAACATTTCAAAGCGATAAGCGCTATATTTCCGCCCTCCAGTGTGGTAATAGGTTACTAAATAACATATGAATACGTAAGCACCTGTAAATATTTAAGTGTAACTCCCGCATCCGAGTACCTACGACAATATAATTGGTATCAATTTAAATGTCAACCACTCCTCTTGGATATACTATCAACTTCTCGGGACTATGCCCTTCAGCGGTAAATATATACGCTATAGAATACAAATTTTGTAATTTTTCACACAAAAGTTAGGGTCCATTTGACCCGCTAAATATTGACCGATCTTCATCAAAACAGGCATGCTTTTTCTTTGGCCCGATCCCTTTCCCCATGCAAAAATTCGCGGTGTTTGATCATAATTGCGGTCTGTGGAGCGACTAGAAAACCCGACAAAAATAAAGTTTTTGGTGCATTTCATCCCCTAAATATTAAAATAATAGGGGTCTTCATTGGGCCGAACCCATCCTACATGCAAAATTTCGTTAAGATTGGTCCTTAACTGTGACCTGTATAATGTTTACAAATTGTAATGGACAGACGGACGGACACACATGTCTAGATCGACTCAGCTAGTCGAGATATGACGATCGGTATACTTAAAGGTGGGTCTAGGACCAATATTTCGCGGCGTTACAAACTTTTGGGGCTGCACAAAGCTATAATACCCTGACAACATAATTGTGTAGGGTATAAAAATTTGAATCTAGACACGCCTATGGGTGGAGCTTAATTAATATTTGTGAATTAAGCCACGCCTATGGTCGGAGTTTAAAATATTCGAGAATTAAACCACGGCGGAGCTTAAAAAGATTCGAGAATAAAACCATTAATATGGACGGGGCTTAAGAAAGATTTGTGAATGTAGCCACGCCTGTGAGTGGAGCTTAAGAATATTTGTTCGGCAGATGGCTGTATTGACTGTTAGGAGTCGTAACATCCCCCAGGAGCTAACAATTGACCATAAAACTGTTTTAAATCATTTACCAAAAAAGTGGTTATTTTTTGTTTTGGACCCACTGTATATCTAAAATGTATGCCAATAAAATGGATTATAAATTATTGAACAAAGTGCGTTGTTTTGAAATTTCTTTGGAAATCTGAAAGACCGCACAAATAAACAAACCAATTTAATTACCTTAGAAATGTTGTATATATTGTTTTAGCATAACAACGTCATATACAGTGCTGCCCAAAAATAGATTCAACTCCATTTAACATCTTTGAAATGACAAGACATTTATAAAATGTGGCTGCATTACATATCTGTTATTTTTTTAGGTATAAGAGATTTAGAATTGACGAATATTGTGGAGAGCAGGTGAAGCTATTTTTATGTACACTACTGTATATATATATATACACATATCTAGTCTACTATCTTAGACTATATATGTGATGATTCGTTTTAAACATTTATTAGCTTTTGATTTATGTGATATTTATTGGATATTTTGTATTCAACACTGTTCTGTGCTAAACAAATTAGAATATTTGATTAAAAAAATAAAAAAAATAAAATAAAATGTATAGAAGATTGCTGAATATTTCATTGCCTCATTAAAAAATGCTTGGTAATTGTCATTTCATTTATAATGGGTTAGTACATATTCCTAAATATTTTCATCATTTTATTTGTTGTGATGTGAAAAATGAATTTAAGAGATAATAATTAAACATTCTAGTACGTTAATTATTTTATATAGAAAGATTTTTGAGTTTTTTCCTCTAACAAATTGAAACAAGTGAAAAAGCGTTAAGTTCGGCCGGGCCGAACTTTGGATACCCTCCACCATAGATATACTAACAGGTACTTGAAATGCAAATATAGGGACAATACCAAAAAGTGGACCTATACCGACATTTCTACAAACCGATTATGTAAACCATAATATAAATGCATAATTATACCCTCAGCCATATGGCTAATGAGGGTGTATACACTTTGACACGGTGAAAATGTGCCTCGTCGAAATATATTTGTTTTAGACCCCATCTTTCTTTGGACAAAATCCGTTTCAGAAAATTTAGATTTTCATCCATCTTACTATTTCTCCCAAACTTAGTTCAATTTCGAAGATTGGAAACATCGGTTCACTCCTTCTGGCACCTCCCGCACAGGGGCTAGGTCTAAATGCGGGTTATAGTTCATATATATATAGTTCTTTATCGAACCTTACGTTCTAGTTTTTTATCTCGATATCCTCCGCAGGTGAAAAGATTACAACAGAGTCTTAGAACCAAAACCAAAACACCGAACAAATCAGATAACGATTTTAATATTTAAAAATGGGGTTATATGGGGACTACCCCAAAAAGTGGGCGAATACTAATAATTTTTGGTGGAGAGATTTGTTACCATATACGACTACAAAATACCAAATTGCAGCGAATTCGGTTGAAAAATGCGCTCAAGACCCCCAAAATACTGAAAATTAGGAGGTACCGTTATATGGGGGCTACCAGAAAAAGTGGACATATATTTATAATTTTTTGTGGGGACATTTAGTACCCAATAGGAACCCAATGTACCAAATTTCAGTGAATTCGGTTGAAAAACGCGCTCAAGAACCCAAAAATACAGAAAATTGGGGGTACCCATATATGGGGGCTATCCGAAAAAATTGACCTATATTTATAATTTTTTCTGGAGAGATTTTGTACCTATTAAGAACTCAAAATACTTAATTACAGCCAATGCGGTGGAAAAGTACGATCAAAACCGTCAAAATACTGAAAATTAGGAGGTACCGTTATATGGGGGCTATCAGAAAAAGTGGACCTATATTTATAATTTTTAGTGGAGACATTAAATATCCAATAAGAACCCAATGCACAAAATGTCAGCGTATTCGGATGAAAAACGCGCTCAAGAACCCCAAAATACCGAAAATTGGGAGTTACTGTTATATGGGAACTATGCCTAAACGTGGACCGACATATCCCATCTTCGAACTTGACCTGCCTGCAGACAAAAGACAAACCTGTGCAAAATTTCAGCACGTTATCTCAATTCCTTCGGAAGATAGCGTGATTACAACAGACGGACGGACGGACATGGCTAGATCGTCTTTTACCCTGATCAAGAATATATATACGTAATAGGGTCGGAAATGAATATTTCGATGAGTTACAAACGGAATGACAAAATTAATATACCCTCCATACTATGTTTTCAGTTTTTTTATTATTTTGATTTCCTTTCGGATAGCAGACCATCTTTGTAAGATGACCTTTAGGTATTCGATTGACAAATATTTTTTAAGATCTTCCAAAGGCGCAATACTTTTTAAGGTCTACTATAGACAGGAAATATTTAAGATCCTCTGTGGATGTAAATAAGGAAGAAAGCCTTTGTCAGCCAGTAAATATTTAAAGTCCTCTGTGTAAATATAATCTATTGTAATTCTATTTTGTTTGATGTCTTTAATATTTTCAAACTACATCTCAAAAACTCCGCATCTATCCCTTTACGCCACACCATCCAGCCTTTTGTGACTTGAAGGATCTTTAATGGTCTAAGGGCACATTTGTTTTCCTTTCATCTTTCATATCGTCTTGATACAAATATATCCTCATTTTCATCTATGTATTTTATATTATGCTGCAGTTTTCGTTTTTTTCGCCTTAGCCTGCTTTATTTATTTTTCTTCTAGCAAATGCAAATGTATGCCGAACCGCTGCCGCATTCCCATCGAGTGGTGAAAAAAACAGAACAGAAGTGCTCGACAAAACACTTTAAGTCGGTCAAGGACAATCTTCACATTCCCTACAGCGGAAAATACATTCATTTTGTTCTTGAGGGGTACGTTTTTTGTGTGTGGAGTACGATATTCGCATTGCCGCAGGAAGTAAGGCGAAGAAATACAACTGTTAAGCTACATACCAACCTCCTTCCCACCCCACACCACATATGGTGGTTTGTGTTAAAGGATTTGCAAATTACAATGTTGTTAATTGCATACTTGTTGATGCTGGCGCTGCTTAACTTCAA